ATTTTTGACAAAAAAGGTTCTTACGTTCATATCACTAAAGTGCTTTGTTTAAGATTTATAAGCAATTTAATAACCAAAAACAAAGAAAAAATAGGTTTTATTGAAATTTATGTATATGTAATTTGATTCAACAACTATATATCAATTGATTACTTAAATTTAACACAATTAACATGGAAAAAATAAAAATTCCATATTTAGTTAACTTTACCAAACTAATTATTGTGTATAACTTTTGTTTACTATCATGAAAAGCAAAATATACATTCATACCAAAGACTCCAGATATTCAAATATTAAAAATGTAACTTATAACAAATTTCAATTTGGATAATCAGATAAATACTAAATTTATAGTGAAATTTTACATTTATCGAGTAGTTCAGTTTTTTTACAATTCGGATAATTTTTTCTGTGGTTATGAACAACTTGCAGAATATTTTTTTTCTTCCCTTCATTGAGCGTTAAACAATCATTATATTTTTCGGCTAAAGCTACACTTCTCTCAGCAACATCGTTTACCACTTTCAATGACGAAAACGTCTTTAAATATTCGATATAGTTCTCATTGGATTCCCAACTATCAGGATCATTATAAATAAACTCGTACGGTAGTTCGAATGCTTTGAAAAGGAAAACTGACTTTTCGCTTGCAAAATCACAAATTTCTCGTCGTACTATTTAAAAACTCGGATAAAAATTGATTATTTTTAATGTATTAATAAATTCAAATTTATTCGAAAATATAATAAACATTTGATTGAATTTTAGTGATAGTAGGATTTCATTATATTTTTTTTATCATAATAGATTTTTAAATTTGTAAAAGTCAACTTTAATTAAATAAACCTATAATACATTTAATTTGATTACTCCATTAGTTGAACCATTCAAGAGATGACTACAAGGAACTATTGGTGCTTTGCAAAATCTTTCTGGGAGCTGTGCCAAGTAGTGAAGTGCTCCTGGTGCAATGCACCATACTAGGTGGCTTTCAGAAGAAGTGAATTCAAGATGAGAACTTAAGAAATTTCTTCTTTGCGCAAAATTTGTTGTTTTCTTACATTGTTTTATGTTGAAGCGTGGTTTAAAGCACCCTGTGCGATTAAAGCTCCCAATAATGACCTCGAACTATTTAAAAATCTGCTTAAATATAAACAAATGCAACCTAGAATTGCGGCAGCTGCTCTTGAGAAGTTAAGTTTGCATCTTTGGTATATACATGAAGAACTGGTGTGCTTGGCTCTGTTTGACTCTAATGTGACACGAGAACAGAAATTAAAAATCTAATAAATCATTCAATATAAAAGGTAAACGTCCTCAAATAAAGCAAGGATCATTTGATACATTAGCAACGAGAGAAATTTGTGATTTTGCAAGCGAAAAGTCAGTTTTCCTTTTCAAAGCATTCGAACTACTGTACGAGTTTATTTATAATGATCCTAATAGTTGGGAATCCAATGAGAACTATAACGAATATTTGTGGTAAACGATGTTGCTGAGAGAGGTGTAGCTTTAGTCAAAAAATATAACGCTCAATGAAGAGAAGAAAAAAAATATTCTTCAAGTTGTTCATAACCACAGAAAAAATTATCCGAATTGTAAAAGAACTGAACTACATGATAAATGTAAAATTTCACTGTAATTTAGTATTTATCTGATTATCCAAATTGAAATTTGTTATAAGTTACATTTTTAATATTTGAATATCTGAAGTCTTTGGTATGAATGTATAGTTTGCTTTTCATGATAGTAAACAAAAGTTATACACAATAATTAGTTTGGTAAAGTTAACTAAATATGAAATTTTTATTTTTTCCATGTTAATTGTGTTAAATTTAAGTAATCAATTGATATATAGTTGTTGAATCAAATTACATATACATAAATTTCAATAAAACCTATTTTTTCTTTGTTTTTGGTTATTAAATTGCTTATAAATCTTAAACAAAGCACTTTAGTGATATGAACGTAAGAACCTTTTTTGTCAAAAATTAAATTTCCTACAACTTTTTCCTTTAAACTTTTTCGGTAAAACCAGTCATTCGCTCGATTTTCTCAAAAATATGTGAAAAAAAGTGAAAAAAAACGACTTTTGGAGCTACTACAATCAACGTAAATAAATCAAAAACAAAATTGATGCAGCGCCTTTCAAAAACCGTGAATACTATGCAGGAAATTATGGTGATAAAAATTATAATTCAAAACCAGGCCAAAATATAGAAATTTAAAGTAAAAATGATTAAAAATACATGCTTTTTATATGGAAAAACTACAAAATTAAAAAGGAAGTACTTAGAATCAAAATTAAGGGCTCAAATTTTCAGGGATTTTTTTTTTCGACCTAAAAACAAAATTTTCATGTGTCAGCAAGAAAAAATTTTTTTCGTTTTAAATGAAACACCCTAATACATATAGCAAAAAAACTTATTTATAAATTTAATCTTCTAAAACAATTTCTCAACCAGGATCTACTAATAACATTATACTACAGTCTAGTAGAATCTATACTACGGTATGGAATCTTAGTATGGGGAGGCCTGTATGGAACTACATTAAATCAGTTAAATGTTATTCAAAACAAAATCTTAAAGTTAATATATAAAAGAGATAGATTGTATCCCACCATAACTTTATATAATAAAAAAAATAAGCAATGTTAGATGTTTATATATTCACACAGTGTGTTGTTATATACAAAAAAAATGAATTTTTAAAAAACCCTTTAGAACATAGACAACACTAGAACTGCATTGAACATGTGCATTAAAGTACCAAAACCAAATAGTGAGTTTTTTAAAAACAGTGTAAATTATCTTGAGACAAAGTTCTATAACGCTCTACCTCTTCATATAAAATTATTAAACAAATATAAAAAATTCTGTAAAGTTAGCAAAATATACATTTTCCAAAATAATGCAAAGTTTATCAGAATATTCCAAGAATAACGGACGTTTTTTAAGTTTTTTTCTGTTTGTTGCATAAATTGTTCAAGTTTTATTGTTTATAAAAAAAAAAAGTTTTTTTTTATTTCCTTTAGGGTCGATCTTTTCACCTCTGAGTAAAGCTACATGTACGTTTACTTGACAGATTAACAAACAATAGCCCTCTAGTTTAATCAGCAAGCAGTTACTTTCAACTTTACTAAATATAATTAAAATAAAATTTTAATTTTTGTCAGCACATACAGGTGTTCTCACCTAGGTGCTTGTTATTATATAATTGGTTTCCATTATTGTACTTCATTATAACTTATTTATTATTGTAACTTATAACTATTTAACTTATAACTATTTATTAGAACCAGCACGATCACAATTGATATTTTTGCTTAATGTACATAAATGAACGAATTTTTACCTTGTTCAGTATATACAGTCAATGTAGTACCGAATACTTTAGTTATGACACCCCTGCCCAGCTGGTTGGTAGCCCAAATCCTAAACTGATAAGTAGTATTCGGATCTAACTTGTAAACTTCAATTTGTCTCTGGAAATAATCAAATTTTAAACAACCTGCATATTAAAAATTAGATTATGAGCAAACCAGACCTCTTTAGACTCTCTGACTCCCCTAATCTTTGAGTTTGGGATGGAAAACAGAAAAAACATTTTATTTAAAACTAGAGTTAGATGGGTAATCAAATTTTTTTAAGCTGTCCGGTTTGCTCAACTAGTCAACTTACAGAGCTCTGAGGGATATGATTGGGCGAAATGGGTATCCAACTGTTGTTTGTGTACCCCAATCGATATTGGGCTGTAAAATTGATTATCGGGTATCCCCCTGAACTGTGAACTTCCCAAAGCAATAGAGCTAGGATAGTACTGGGACGTACCACAACATTTGCTAGTGCAGGTGGAGGAGCTGTAAAAATATCAGTAATTTCATAATAGCGAATATATACCCATAACGGAAGGTATAAATAAACTTAAAACCCATGAGAGTACCTATAAAATAATACTTGCAGGACATTATTGAATGACTTTCGGTACTTACTCCTAACAAACAGCTTAATTTTAGCCTTAACGTCTGAATTAACAACGTTTTCTCGACTACAGGCATACACTCCTGTATCATTTCTATCAGCTTGTGCAATAAATAGTGCTCCATCTTCTAAAACCGACATCCGATGGTGTTGTTGATCCTCCCTGCCTTCTCTCACCCACATGACATCTCTCGCTTGATGAAGGGGACATGGTATTGTTACGTTACTACCGATATTTACAGCAATTTCCTTCAAAATATCACCTAAAACCATTATAACATAAAAGAAAGTAGACCGGAGTTTGTTATTAATTGAGACTATTACCGTTGACTGTACAAACTACGTAAAAATATACAAGGAATTCTGTAATTTTATACATTCTTCCATGATATTTTGAACCGAAATTAAAATTTTTCTTTCATTAGTGAAGAAATAACAGTGGAATTAGCATATGTCAAAATATGACAAAGCTGTCATTGGTGCTACGTTGCCAAATTAAATTTATTTTTAACAGTATCTTTAAATAAAAATTACTGCACACTGCTTGCACACTGTATTATAAAACAAATTAAAAAACGACACGTTAAAGAAGCAATGAAATATCTAAGAGAAATAAAGACATGGATCTAAAACTATACCAATTTCAAGACGTATTTTGTAATTAATTTAAATGTTGTTCAACAAAAGTATTATGGTTCTGTATTTAAATAGTTTATTGTTTAAATTTGTTTAAATAAGATTGCGTTGCAGATTAAATTAAGTCGTAAGAATACTGTTGTTTATTATTAAAATTATTAATAAATCAGTACATAAACTACTATGATACAAAAACGGTACTAAACGTAAACATTAAGTTGGAACAAACCTTATAAATACGAGTATTTAGGAAGGAAATAAATTGTATATCTTATGTTAAAAGTAAATTTGGAAAATTTGGCAATGCTGTAATAGTGATTATTTGCTGCCAACGTTTTACACAAAAAATACCCCAGTTTATTGATTAAAATCGACGCAGAAACACTAAATTTACGTTGGCTGAAATGGATTATTTGATTTTATTTAATATTTTGATTTTGATCAGCCGTGATAAATGTCAGATACAAGTTGATTAGTGTTAGGTGCAGTTAATAAAGAATACCGACTTTTTTAACTGTGATACTATTTATAGTGCATCAAGAATATAGAAGAACTGCTTCGAGAATCAGCGTAGATCAAAAATAGCCTGTACTTCTTTGATAAAAAGGTAATTTGTCTACATTATTGGCTTGTGGTATATATTAATACTTTTGGTGCTGTTATTATTTATTTAAGGTTTCACAAAAGATTATCAATAGATTAATATTGTTTATAATTGTTGCTTATAAAGATAATTCGTTTTATTTATATTAGCCTTTCCTCTATATGCAAAATTGGCTTTTATGCACTGATAACATCAATTTGTATCTTTAATTGCATATTTTTAGGCAATTATAAGGTAGTTGAAAGGAAATAGTAAATGCGGATTCATGTATTTTTGATGTCAGCTTATTTTCAAAGTTCACAAGAAAATTGTTCTTCACCTTGAACATTCAAAGTCTAAACATTTACATGCTAATTTTATTTTGCTATAAATAAAAAAAAGTAACTGGATATTAATTTACTTACAGTATAATTACCTAGATTTTAATTAATATACATTTGCAGTGACGTGGATTATTAAAATGCAGAAGTTTCATTAAGGAGTACCTGCATAAGTAGTTATTTATTAATTTTTAAACCTCTCTTATACCTGTATAGATATTGGATATTATTTTGTTTATTTATTGTAAAAATCAGTGGCGTAGTCAGAAATTTTTCATGGGGGTTTCTGAGACTATGGGGGTTAACAAACAGTTAATAGCGATCAGCGCCAATAAGATAGTGGTAACCCGAAAGCCCTCCATGGGGGGTTCTGACCCCACGACCCCCCTCCCTCCCCGTAGTTACGCCACTGGTAAAAATCATAGCACAATGGATACCTACATGTAAGAACGGCTTCAAGACGAATTTTCGGGGGAGGGCATTGCCTTTAGCCATTCTCTTTTTAGCATATTTTTTTGAATAAAAGGCTCATAAATCGTAAGAATTTTCAACTTGGGGGGGGAGAAGACGGACCCCATAGTCCCCCCTGGAGCCGCCATGCCTACATATCAAGATTATTTCCAAAATTAATTCTAATAAAATATTTTGTAACAAGAAAACATTGCCAAAGGGACAATTTACATACAGTTTTAAACCTACTCTCGGTAATTTTGAAGGTCAGTAATTAAGTTTTCTAGGCCTAGAGTCTAGGGCACTAACAACAAGATGTACTAAGGGAATTAAGGCCAAAATTTTCAACGTATCATATACGTTGTATTTTATTATATGAAAAAGAAAGGTAGGGGTCGTCATAAAATTGTTATTGAAAATTGGACCCCGAATACTGAAAGGTTGAGAAACGCTGATTTAGAGTTTGAAAAGATTCGTAGTTCGTATGCCCTGCCCTACTTTGTGACGTCACGCCTTGTTTATGTACGATGCACAAAATCGCGTGGTTTTAAGCGGTCAAATTGTTTGTTTCACGGATCTGTTGACCTCTCTTTTTAACTACAGGCATTTACCGAAACCTCTCCTGCTCAACCAGCATAGTGCACCGACAAACGAAAGCAAACAGAGCGCAGTGGTGTACCAAAAAGAGAGATTAACATGTATGAAAATAATGAAAATATTAAAATTTAATTTATATATTTATGTGATTTTAAAATAATGTGTTTTATGAAATTTAACAGGGTGTTCACTGCACCAATGAACCAATGGCTGTCAAAGGAATCAAATGTCTTGTAATTTTTCCCTTATCCACTGCCATCCAGCATTTTAGTTAATGGAACTAGAACGAAATATACACTTTTAGCTGGTTTAAAACCTATTTTTCTGTCAGAATTCTGGCTGAAAAACATCCGGATGAAAGTTTTTTGTTTAGCAATTCTGTATAATATGATTTAGCAATTCTATATGATATGGTTCTAATTATTGTCTAAATTAATGCCCAAAAATTTTATTCTATTATTCCGGTCTAGATATAAGAGAATGGTTATCAGCAGCTTAAAGGAAATTTAGTACTTCTTTACACTGGAAGAAATTATTCAGGTTCACATTATAGACAATATCTAATTTTCAGTACAAAGGTTCAAGTTAAAAGGTTTTTGAATAGTACGATATATAGCGACTATGGCACCAAGATCAAGATGTTCAACCAGAACTTATTTCGCAAAATATAGATCACAGTTAAACTCAAAAGGCAACATTTATCAGAAGACGTAAAAAAATGTTATTTTAACTGTTTTTAACCAGTTCTGTAGTCGAGAAATGCCCCGAAAAGAAACTATCCAGGAAACAGTGTTTCTAACAAATACTCCTCAGGCTACAGTGTACAAAATCATAAAACTAGGTCTGGCAAGGAGACGAAAAAGAAATTCAGGCAATTCCATACGAATCAATTCACATCAGTTAGCGCCAATATGTGAAACAATCTACAGTATGTACACAGTAGACATCATGCCAAATCTTGGAGGTATTCTAGCAGAATTAAAAAAGAAACATGTTCTTGATGTATGTTCTGTTAGAACACTTGGAATTTTTTTAAAATAGCATGGTTTTAGATATAAAACAGTAAATAAAAGACAAACAATAATGGAAAATAGTAATAATAATTCTTCCTCTAACTATATCAGCTCAAACATTTAACTTTTGTGGATATTGGGTGTAATTCTATTCGGTGAGGATTTTGATCAGACCAATACCGGTAATTATGTTAATTTACAAATCAACTCAGACAAAATGTTGGTTTATTCGGAAAAAACAATGTTGTACACTTAGAACCATCTTAAGTGCATTTTCCTCATTAGAGGCTGTCCTCTTCCGACCAGATCTGAGATTTATATTTTGAAGACTAAATGGCCAAGAAAAATGGTCATAATGTCTTAAGACTACCCCCTTACTACTGTGTTTTGAACCCGATTGAATTATTATGGGCCCAATTTAAAAAACAAGTAAAAATAAATAATAAACCAAAAAATCCCAACAGCATTGTAAAACTTATAATGAAAGAGTTCTCAAATATTACTTCTGAGTACCAGATAAATGCTATAAACCACATAATAAAGGTTAAAAACGAATATATGCGACACGTACCAGTTTTAAAAAGACTTGTTATTAATGTAAGCGACGGTGAATCTGATGAGGAAGGTGATGATGGTGATGGTAGTGATTTAGATTACTTTTACAAACAATTTTTCTTTTAATTTTTAAGAATTCATAAATAAAAAATTAAATCAGTAAATCCTTTTGATTTTAAATTATATTTGCTTATTAAGTACAACTCTGTACAGGTATCAGTATCAGCAGGCAAAAACAAATAATGGTTTTAACTGACAAAAAATGTACACCATATCTTGACCGGTATAATATCAGTACATTCAATGTTATGACTTTCTACAAGAGTTAGTATTTTTGTTTTTTCCATGTTTAGACAGAAATAAGTAGCTTTGCACCGTCCTTTGCTTTGTTTAATGTCACAAAATATGGTGTTATAAAGAATGCAGGTGTCAATGCTGTACCATATAATCGTAGCGTCTTCAGCAAATAGAATTCAAAACTCTTGCAATGTTAAGTCATTTATATAAAGAAGGAATAAGATGGGACTCAACTTTATATAAAACATGAGAGGCCTTAGTAGCTTTTACCATTTTCTTACGTTCTGAATGATAAGATTTTATCAGCGTTTCGTCTTAGATTCCGTAAATTCGAATCTTTAGCAAGAATACTGTATGATTGCCACAATCAAACGCCTTAGTGAATTTGGGAGTGTCGGTAATGGTGAGTGTTGGCCTTTGTCAAGTGTATTTATGTTCGCTATCTGACCACATGGTATAATTTCAATGTTTATCGTTGTTTCGATTCACGGTCGTTCTAATAAAAGTGCGTTTAACGACTTGAAAAAGTATATTTCCGAAGAAGAAATAAAAGCAAAGTTCCCTTCGTATCTCGTATGTTAGGAGAGACGTAATGGCAGAACGAAAACGCGGGGAAATTACGTCCGATGGAAAATGGGAAAATGCGGGAAACGTCGGAGTTTTAGCGTTTTCCCCAGGTCGTCGAGCGAGCAAGCGAACGGCGGCGGCGGCGGCATTTCGAGCTCGAAAATGTCAAAGGTGAATCGGCCGGTGGCGGCAAGGCTGGAAGGATGGAGACCAGCGGCAGCGGCGCCGGACAGGGTCGATTCGGTCATAAAACGTATATGTACGATATATACAATATAAGAACGTAAAAGTGCCTTTTGCAGGCTTTTTGTAGATGGCCAAACCCCTAAATATTTGATACTGTCTGTCTAAGGACCTTACCAAATTATTCGAAAGTATTGTAAGGATTAATCCTTAAAAAAATACTTCGTAAGTGGGCCTTGTCATCTGAACGTAGAATTCTATGTGTCAATTTGGTTTTAATTCAGAGCGAATAAATGGATTTAAATTTCAATGAGTATCCTGTTATTTTATTATCTTTAAAATAATTATAACCTACCATATATACCATATATCATACGAGGCGAATGATATATGTAATAACTTACTAGAAACTAACGTTGTAGAATTTTTCTCACTAGTGACGGAAATCAAGTTTTCGATGGAATTATCCTTTTCGTAAGGACTCGTAGCAAAGACCATTTTTTCGCTATTAAAAATATGCTAATATGTATCCCTATAACAACCAATGAATGTCCTCTTTTTTTGTCAGTTGGACTAAAAAATATGTATTGTATATCCCTCGGTATGTTTTACTAAAAACAAGACGAATTATTCTTCTTACAATTTAACGCTCTCATTTCCGTGAAAATTTAAACATATTTAAAAATATAATGTACGTCATTCCGCAAAAATTTTAATGCAATTACAATATATTTTGAATGTATAAAAGATAATTTTCTTGATGCTTTCAAGACGTGAAGTATTTTTAGAAATGTTTGGATATTCTGAATCATCATACTATGAAATTGTTTTAAAGTAACTAACCTGAATAGTTTTTCAAAAGCAAATAAATATATAAAAAAAGATGATAAATAGAAATAATTGTTTTAAGATGAAATAAATTAGGATATTAGGACATACCTACTCCTTTAATGAACTTCAGACTTTAACTCTTATCTAAATTAGACATTAGGATTAAAAAGGTAAAGGAACCAAATATTAT